GGAGTCTTCTTCTGCTTGTTGGTCATGTCCGTGTGGGCCCCGGCCTCCACCAGACTGATGATGATGGCGTGCAGTGTCAGGAAGTCGCTGATGGGCCGGTTGTATTGGACAATGACGTGCAGCGGCGTGTTACCTTCGTTGTCAATGGCGTTGACCGGCGAGCCGCAGTCCAGCAGCAGCTTGGTGACCTGGGCGTTGGGAAAGCTGCAGACGTCGTTGGTGTGGAAGTCATCCACGGGCGTGTTGGAGCTGATGGCCAGGTGGAGCAGCGAGGAGCCCTCACGGGAGCGGGGATCCAGCTGAATCAGGTCGTAGATGTGCTTGTTGATGGAGGCGCGTTCCTCGTCGCTGCACGTGGTTTTGGTGGAGATGCAGGTCAGGTAGAGGAAGGTGAAGACGTTGGCTTCGTAGTTCTCCCTGGCCTGCTGTAGTTCTGACTCTGTCGCTGTCTCCACCCGTGTCATGCTGCGCTTGATTTCAAGCACGCTGCAGCTCAGCACCTGCTCCACTGAGTAGGCCGTGACCCGCTCCTTCAGGTGCACCATCTGTGAGAAGACCTGAGCGAAGCGCAGCAGGTCTTTGTGTGTGTTCCTGTTTCCTCTCTGGCGCAGGTGAAGCGCGTGGAGCCACAGCTTGATGCACTGCTCGAACTCCATGTTGTCGGCATAAACCGCCCCGCGGTAGATGATGGGATGCGCCACGTCGATGTTGTCTGATCCCAGGATGCGCTCCCTTATCATCAAGCCCTCCATGTGCAGAGCATCTCGATCTGCATGGATGGCCTCCAGGTCTCCCAGAGTCCTGCACTCTCTACGTCCACCGTAGGCCTCGATCGGCAGCAAATTCTTTTTGACGATAACATTGGCTGGGTCGCGGTAACGCGCCGTCATCGCCAAGTGCAGGTAATGGTACGTCTTCTGGATGTCGTAGTTTTCCCGGTCGTTGGCGAAGGAGGCACCCAGCAGCTCCAGCGCCTCCACCTGGCTGCCATTGTCACAGTCCTCGTGCTGTAGCAGCAGCTCTACCACATCGGCTTTGCAGCTCTCTGCTGCCACCTTCAGTGGCGTCATGCCGTGTCCGTTCATCACCATGGCTGCTTGGCAGCGCACCAACTCCTTAACGATGTCCAGGTGTCCCGCCTCAGCTGCGAAGTGCAGGGCTGTGGCGCCGCAGTGCGCCTTGGCGTTAGCATTAGCTCCCTGCTCCAACAGGAACTTGACGACGTCTGTGTGGCCCTTGTAGGCGGCGATCATCAGACAGGTGTTGTTATATTTGTTGGTGATGCTTATGTCCGCGGCGTGCTCCACCAGGTAGCGCACAATGTCCAGACGTCCATCAAAGCAGGCTGCACGCAGCGGCGTAGAATTGGTGATGGTGGTGTGGTTGACGTTGGCACGGTGACTGACCAGGAGGCGCACCACCTCAAAATGCCCCGCCCCCGCCGCACACCACAGAGCTGTGGCACCATCGATGACATAACTGTGAAATAAAAACAAAGACAGAGTCAAACAGAGACAGAGAACTATGGTAACGTGACATCATCATCTTATGATTAATTATAACCAATCAATGATTGACTACAGTGTTGAAAAGAAAACCAATCATTTGTCGAAGCCAGGCTCAAACTCGACACATTAGTACAGTTCTTGTCGAAGCCAGAACTTAAAAGGAATCTTTGGGCTCAAACTCGACACATTAGTACAGTTTTAACGATCTAAAGGCATTTTTAAATAATGCAACCATGTATTGTCAGTCTCATTGCTAATCTCTGATATTAATAAACTAGAATATCATCTTTAATGAAACCAGAGTTACCCGTCAAATCGAACCGTGCCGGTCTGTTCCGTGTCCACCCGGTAGTGGTCCAGAAGTAGTCGCACAACTTTGTCGTGTCCATTCCGGGCGGCGATAATGAGCGGCGTCGACTTCTGTCCGGACAGGTGTGTAACGTAGCCGAGTAGGTACTGGGTCTCCGGCTCCTGGTGCAGCAGGAGTGCGGCCAGGGTCGGGACTCGCCCCTCGCTCGCCGCCTTGTACACGTATCCAGCCAGAGACTCCATGTGAGCCGGGGAAGTGGCCAGAAGCCCGGCTTTACTCTTAGTTGTCGCCCGCTGTGTCCGCTCCTCCACAACAACAACCCGCCTCCCATTAAAGTGTCCAAAGCTGAGCCTGGAGCTCACATTAAAGTGAAACGTTCTTCTTCATTGAAAAAAACAAACAAACAAACAAAAAAAACCCCCACCAAACAACACAGGGAGAATGTTGGAGATCTAGAGTCTAATTACGACAGCGACAGTCCCGGCTCTGTGGCTACTGTTTCGGACAGACTTCAGGCGTCAGAGAAGAGGGTTAGCCGCTAACTTTCGTCTGCTAGCTCAAGCAAGCGAGTCGCTCGTTAAAACGACTAAGAAGTAAAACAACGCCCTTTGACTGCCGTTTTTACACACAACAAAGCTTTCGTACACATAAAAGAGTGGAATATTCTGCCCCTAAAACAAAAAAGGAGTGAAAGAATTCGAGAAAACCAGCAGCACTTGCACCCTCTGTGAGCGAGTCTCACACCGGAAGGGAGTGAGTGCACCACTTAAAATGACCTCCGGCCGGAACGTTCCGGCTCTCCTGTTCCCTAAACTGTTCTCCTACCGCGAAACATAAATTATATTTTGAGTGTAATTAATAAATCTAAAGATATTAACTGCACTTGTGACTCTGCTCTTGTTTTAGACGTCATTTGTGTATGTTTGTAGTTTACGCTCTCGGTGATGTTATTTGTTTACTTCTAAGCTGACTTTCAGTTAATTTTAAGAAAGTTGTGTAACATTATTCTGTATTTATCGCAGTGTTACGCTTAAAATGGTTTAAATTGGTTTAAAAACAAAATTAAGTATGGATATTCATTTCCCGCAAGAAAGAGGAGGTCGATAGTCTTTTGTTAGCACCACCCAGTGGAGTTAAGACGCAACGGCGTCTCTCTATGACTGGACTCAGGACTGAACATTTTGGGTAATTATCTCTGACCTGGACTCCTAGCCTTTCACGCTCGGACTTTAACTACCATAGAAACACTTTATTAAAACCGTATTACATCCATATAGATAAAAAAATATTACAACTTAACTGTTGTGAAGACCTAAAACAGCCGAATAAAATATAAACAATGAGTCAGTCATTACAGCATTAGAATGACTGACATGAAAATATAAGAAAAGTCTCTGGTGATCATGAAGGTGTCTTTAACACCTGCGTAGTTGGACAGTGTTTGACTGGAGGACACATGAAGACACAGGAGGTGAATAAGTGGATAAACTCTGAACTGACCTCTCTTTGAACGAGTAGATGATTGAAGATGATGAGGTTTGAAGACGACTGAGCTCTTCTCACCGTAACAGCCTTTAAAAAGTTTTCTAAATCAGTGACACAGACTGACCACAGGAGGCAGAAGAGGGCCAGCAGGTTTGACATTTTTGGATGATCTTTGGTGAAGGAGGGTGAGCAGCTGGGGTTGTTGACATGAGCGGGCGTAGACATTACTAGCCGAGTCTGCTGACAGATCTGACTCTGTAAAAAATCAAAGACGTCAAAGACATCTTGACTGTGGAGGAGGTTGGAACTGTTTGGTCCTGACCCGTCTCCTTAAAATGAAAACCTGGAACTGGACTAGTCAAACCTATAGATATAGACTCATCTGCTGGTCCTCAGTACCAGAGTTATCTCTTGGGGAAGGTGGGGGGGCTGGTGTTGATCCACATCTGGACATTTGGTTGGCTGTGACTGAAGCAGCTGAATAGTGTGTTCTGTTTGAAGAGCTGAGACGCGAGCGTCCCTCAGGAAGAAACAGAGCTCAGCTCAGCAAACAGCAGCGTTGAGCAGCAGCTTCGTCATAATTAGTTTCTGCTCATAAACGCTGCTCTGAGTGACATTCAACAGGCTTCACCGCCACAAACGGAACTTTCCACCCGGCAAATCTGTTTGTCCGTCTCCACCATCGGATTCAAATCCTTTTGTTGTTTTTGTCGGAAGAACCAGAGAACCATCCATCTCTCCATCCGTCCAATCATCCATCACTGCCCCCAGTAGGGTGAATGATGCTCGCCCCAACACTGCCTCCTACTGGTCAGAGTCACTGATCCATGATGATGTCTGTTATGTGAGAGTGTGTGTGTGTGTGTGTCAGTAATTATTGATTCGTTCTCAGGTGTTGAGACTAATTACATCAGTCGTTGAGGACGGGGTAGAACCACACACAAAGACAACAAAGTGGACCATACCAGGTGTGTGTGTGTGTGTTCTTCTGGTCCAGAGCCCACAGCCTCCAGAGGTGTTCTCGCTCCAACAGTCGGAGCCGTGACCTTTGACCATACAGTCCTCTGTAGTTCATGGGTCATAGTACCGTTCCTGGATCTGTCCCACAGACCTGTTGTCAAACCCTCACTGTTAGAGTCCTAGTCCTAGTCCTGACCTAGAGGCTAAAACCAGGTTAGTTTAAGAGGTCATCCTGTCAAAGGTCAAAGGTCACAAGGATCTGGACTATTTTAAAATGTTCAGAAAGAACCAATTTCAGGTTCAGGTACAGTTTTTTTCATCCTGTTTATACTGACGTTCTTCGGTTAGAGATCAGGACTCAGTCTCCAGGGACGGGTGTCAGAGCGTCCTCCCTCCATCACTGTCCTCATCTTACACACACCTGGATCAGGTTCCTGGGCGGAGGACGAGTGGATGGAGCTTAGAGCTCACAGAAAGACGGAGACACAGAGACACGGAGACACAGAGACACAGAGACACAGAGACGATGGTGAGACCCTGTCACAGCCACACACTATTTCTCACATTTGTGTCAAACTCAGGCTTGTCTCCATCTGTTGTCTCTGTCTGTTGTCTCCGTCTGTTGTCTCCGTCTGTTGTCTCCGTCTCATCACAGGCCAAGTTCCTGACCCAGGATCAGATCAACGGTGAGACCCCGACCCCGTCTCTGTTCTGGACCTTTGAACTGTGTCTGTCTTAGTCTAAGATCTAATGGTCTATTATCTGGTTCCACCAACGTTCCTCCTCTTTCAGGTCTGTGTGGAACCAAACAGTACCCTGACTTCCTGGTACTTTATTATGCCTAAATCCTTGTCTGAGATTGTTCTGAGATTGTGCCCAGACAACAGGTCTATAAAATAGTTCTGTTTGAGAACCAGGTTTTACACATAGTCAGTGAGATTAAAGACTGACCAATCAGGAAGTGGCATGTGGTTCTGTTGTTTGGTTCCTGGTACTTCACTAACATCAGTCCTGGTTCCTGCAGAGTTCAAAGAGTGCTTCTCTCTGTACGACCGCCAACGTAAAGGAAAGATCGGAGCTCCGGACTTGATCACAGCGATGCGGTGCCTCGGTTCAAGTCCCACGCCCTCTGAGGTCCAGCGCCACCTGCTGAGCCACAACATAGGTGTGTCTTACCTTGAGGTACCATTTACTTTTGTTGTGTCGTCTCACTTTTCCTCACTAAACTAATATGAACAACTTGTTGACAAAACAAATATAAATATATAAATATATTTAATTAAAAATAATAATAATTAATATCTGGCTTTTCCTTCGTTACTGTCAAAATAACTTCAGACACGTCTTAGTTTTCTTCGCTTTCTTCCCTGAACGTTTCCTTTACGGTGTCAATATAGGACTGTGTGTGTGTGTGTGTGTGTGTGTGTGTGTTTGTCCTGATGTCCCCCTGTCTCCCCTCTTATCTCTCTCTAATACTCAGTTAAGTGATTGTCAGTAATGAACTGCTCAGTTTCCAGTTTGTTCAGTCAGATAAACTGACGCTGCCTTATCTCACAGTCACACTGGCTTTATGGTTCCGATGTTGGAACACTTTAATTCATGTTGTTTTACATCCTCCTCCTCCTCCTGTACTGACCTCCTTACCTGCAGATCAATAAATGTTTCTTTTTAGTCTCTGAAAATAAAAACCCAGCGACCGACCTTTGTCTTTGTCTTTGTCCTGCAGATCGAGGTGGAGAACTCGACTTCTCCACCTTTCTGGCCATCATGCACCGTCAGCTCCAGCAGGAGGCCCCGGAGGAGGAGATTCTGGAGGCCATGAAGATGGCCGACAAGGAGCAGAAAGGCTACGTGTTAGCACATGAGCTACGAGCTAAGCTAACTGGACATGGAGAGAAACTGACCAACAAAGAAGGTGAGAGAGGAGAAGGACAACTGACAGGAGTGGAGTCCACAGACATGTACACACACATACCGAATATATATATGTGTGTGTGTGTGTGTGTGTGTGTGGTTGAACCTTTGTTCCAATGGTTGTGTCTCTTCACCAGTGGACGAGCTGCTGAAGGACGCTGGTGTGGGTCCAGACGGTCACGTCCACTGTGAACAGTTTGCCAAAGCGGTGACACACACACCTGTGAGGCGCTGACATCACCACCACAGCTATGACATCACAACCACAGCTGTGACATCATCAGCACATCTGTCCAGGTCTGTTCTGCTGCTCTTCTGGTGACTGACCTCAGATGTTTCCAACAGATTTACCTCAGTTATACAATCTGACCACAAGAGGCAGCAGTGGAGCAGCAGTCCCGGTGTAGGTCCCCACCCCCCCCCCCCCGCCCCCCCAGTCAGTCAGAGAAACTAAAACAGTTCTTTATCTGAGGGACCAAAGTCCTGCTGTGTCAACACCAACACCAGGGTCTGAGCTGCAGCTGCTGCGTTCACACACTGATGGAACTCTGGCAGAACATTCGTTTTCTCTCACCTTCTGGGTTCTGTTGACTGGAGCTGGAACCGATGAACTTTTCACTTTACCCTGACAGACACCTGACAGTTCCTGAACACGTGTGTGTGTGTGTGTGTGTGTGTGTGTCAGTCTTCTGTCTTCATCCTCGACACAAACGTTGTATTTGAATTGATAATTTTATTATTATTCACATATTTACATTTTTATTTCTGACATAAAGTTTCAACATTTAAATCAAATGGAAAAGAACGGAGTTGTTTTTTTAACTTTAACTTTTTTTAGTTAAAGTTACAACACGTGTCCTGAAGCAGCCACAAAAAGAACGGTCCAATGACAGGAGAGAACCGAGGAGCTGAGGAACACTGATGTTTCAGTGGTAGAAAAAATAAACAGCTAAATGTTAGCAATGAACAGCACTCGATAACATGCAAAGAACTGATACAGAAATGTTCATGTGGAGCATTAGCCACACCAAAGAGTAACATGCAAAATAGCTAACAGTTAGCTAAAAACGGGTAAAGACAATGATAAAAGTTAGCTAGTGTAAGCAAACAGCTAACACTCAAGAATCTTTGACAAAAAACAAACAAAACATTTTAAATAATAAAAGACAATTCTAGTCAAAGATTTAACCAAAGGTTTGTCCAACGATAGTCGGGAAAATTGGGTCCACAATCTGGATACCAGATCTGCCCCACAAAGACTCCATACCTCAAGGTGGCCCAGTATGTGGCCCAGTATGTGGCCCAGTATGTGGCCCAGTATGTGGTCCAGTATGTGATCCAAATTCTGGAATAATTTTATACATTAATTTAAACATTCAAGTTTTTACATTTCACCTGTTAAATGATGAGAACCATTGGTGGCTCCCTCTAGTGGTAAGAACGCACTTCACAGTGTGTCTTTGATTAACAGTTATATATTTCTATCAATTATTAAATCTCATCTGAACCGTGCTGGTCTGAGCTGCTGGATTTAATGTTGGTAGGACTGGTACTGCTGGTGGAGAATTAAAAAAATAAAAAAAAAACATGACGGTGGCTGCCCCCGCCTCCCCCGGACCCTCTGTTTAAAACCAGGACAAATATTTTAGGTTAAAAATGTACTTTTTACAAAGAGGGAAAAGCTGGGCTGAGTGTTCTCTAGAACCACACACACACCTCTGTTTTTACGTCCTGGTTTCCAACGAACACACACACCGGAAACGGCTGCAGTCACACGGACCAGGACACACCAGAACCCCAACATTTGGCCACTGTACCATGGGACACACAAACAAATGCCCGTCCGTCTCCTGCCTCAGTCAGGGGTCAGAGGTCAGAGGTCAGAGTTTAGCTGAGGCTGTTTTTTTAAGCATCGTCTTCCTGCGTAATTTGCGCAAATTCTCTCCTGGGTCTGAGATGGACTCAGACTGACTGAACTCTTCGTCTTCTTCTTCGTTGAAACCAAGTTCAGAAATTAATTAAATCCTCACCTGTGGATTCGGCTCTCGGTCCTGACACTCAGACCAGTCCAGCAGGAACTCGTCCACGGACCGGTCTTCACCTGGGCAGCGCCTCCGTGTCGCCCTGCTCCGTCAGCACCGACAGCCGGCAGTTCTCCGTCTCCACGTTGTTGAGCGGGATCACCACCTGCGTGTCGTCCGGTCCCGCTCTCACGGTCCCGGAGAAGGGCCGCAGGTGGCAGTTGTTGGTTCCGGGCGGAGAGGAGATCCTCCAGAACAGCTCCTTCATCTTCTTCCTGAACTCGCGGCGCATCAGACAGTACAGCACCGGGTTGAGGCAGCTGTTGGTGTGCGCCAGGCACACGGTCACCGGGTGCACGTACGTGTGCACCATGTAGTAGGTCTTGTCCCAGTTGGCCAGGTTGAACTTGACCAGGACTCCCCACAGAGTGATGGCGTGGTTGGGCATCCAGCAGAGGAAGAAGGAGAGCACCACGATGGTGACGGAGCGCGTCACCCGCGACCGCCGCTTCACCTGGTTGTTGTTCATGCTGCGCAGGCGGACGAAGCGCAGCAGCATCAGGTAGCAGACGCTGACGGTCAGCATGGGGCAGACGAAGGCCACCAGGATCTTCTGCAGGTGGTACAGCGCCAGCCACGACTGGCCGTCAGGGAAGTCCATCAGGCACAGCCGCTCCCCGGCCACGCTTTTCACTGAGGAGTAGATAACCGTGGGCAGCGTGGCCGCCGTGGCGGACACCCAGAGCGCGGCGATCACCCAGCGCACCGGGCACACCCGCCGCCGGGTCCGGTCCTTCAGCGCCGACGCCACGGACCAGTAGCGGGTGACGCTCATGGCGGTGAGGAAGAAGACGCTGGCGTACATGTTCATGACGGTGACGGACAGGATGATCTTACACATGGCGTTCCCGAAGGGCCAGCTGAAGTCCAGGGCCATGTCCACGGCCCAGAAGGGCAGCGTCAGCACGAACTGGAAGTCGGTGACGGCCAGGTTGAGGATGAACAGGTTGATGCTGGAGCGATTCCTCCTGCCGCGACGCGCCTTCATCAAGAAGAAGACCAGAAGGTTGCCCAGCAGCCCGGCGGCGCACACCACCGAGTACACCAGGGAGATGAGGATGCGCAGCGTCGGGGAGCCGTCCGCCGGCACGTCGATGTCCTCCAGACTGATGAAGAGGTTCGGTCCGGCTTCGTAGGCGGTGCTGGAGCGGTTCCAGGGGGAGGACGCGCCATGAGTAGCGGTGGTGGTGAAGATGGTGGTGGTGTTGTGGCTCCACAGCTCCGTCATCCTGTCCACTAGAAGACCAGGGTCCGGTGATCCCACAGCCAGCATCACCGCCTGTGCTCGTGCGGAGAAGACGTTTACTACGCGGGCAGGTGTTGTGCACAACTCCGTCGATGGATCATTTGGTTTCCTATAGACCAAACTCCACAGTTCCTCTGGTTCCTCTGTTCTGTTTCACTCTCTTCTGCCCTGATCTTTCACTCCTGAACTCACTCTAACGACAAACCGCGCGTCTGTTCTGATCTTTCACTCCTGAACTCCGGTTCACTCTAACGACAAACCGCGCGTCTGTCTCACTATAAACTCTGCTGGTGCACGAGGAAATGCGCGCGCCCGATATAATGTAAAACTACAGTGGAGAGAAACAGGGCCGGACACAGTGATGTCAGGGCCCCATGGAAACACAGCTGTAGACAACACACAGTCTACAAGGTCTACGATGTGTCAACTGAACCCAGGCCACATCAGTGTGAACTGACGCTCATCGGTTCTAAAGGAACTTGAAACATGAAACTTGGACATCTGTACCACTGCTGTGATGCTTGAATGATAACAAGACTCGTCACTAGGTGGCAGCAACTCATACAGTGGTTTGTACAGATAAAAAATATTGAAATGTTTTCAGGTTCTCAAAAGTATTTCAATTCGTGGGGGTGTGGGTCGGGGGGGCATGACGGAAAATAACTGAGAACCACTGGTCTGAGCTAAAATCACTGATTTTCTCCGTGGACTTTGGTCGGCTGTTCTCCTCCAGCTGTGTGGACTCCTGTCAGAAACAGAAATAGGAAATGCGTAGGAACCACCACTGTGTTCACATCCTCACCCCCCAGCGGGGGTTCTAGGTCGCCCTGCTGATCCAATTCCTTGATTAGCTGTGAAGAAGCCTGGTGCTGTC